TCAACAGACTTCAAGTTGGATGGTTGAACTGGAGGAATGCATCGAGCTTGTTGTGTGATAGAAAAGTGCCCCTCAAACTTAAGGGAAAATTCTATAAGATGGTGGTGAGACCTGCAATGCTTTATGGTGTTGAATGTTGGCCATTAAAAGAGAAGCATAATACTAAGTGTTGTAGAGATGAGGATGCTCAGGTGAATGAGTTGCTTTACCCTTAGAGATGGATTCAAAATGAGCATAATACGTGAAAAGGTTGGAGTAGCTCCAATGGAAGATAAGATTAGAGAGAGTCACCTTAGATGGTTTGTCATATAAAATGGCGGCCTAACCTGGTTAGGAAAGTAGAGATATTAGATTTGACTTATGTTAAGAAAGGTAGAGGTAGATCTAAAAAGACTTGTTTAGAAAATATTAGAAATGATCTTTCTTTATTAGATTTAAATGAAAATTTGACTTTTAACATAACACAATGTAGAAAAAGGATTCATGTAGTCGACCTCATGTAGTGGGGGACAAAGGTTTGATGTTGTTGTTGTTGTCGTCGTCTCTTTATAATATCCTCCACCAAAATTTCCAAGCTTACCTTCATTTTAGTTGAAATTGGAGTTAGAGTATAAATTTGGACTTTATTTTCAGATTCAAATTTGAAATTAGACTTTCATCCCAATTTCTTTCCATTGCTTTCTCCCTAATTTTCTCTAACTACCTACGCTTGGCCTAGCCTAGTTAGCTTCCCAAACCATAGCCTAAATTGTTTCCAAAGTTTCAACCCAATCAAATGCAATCAATTTAATTGGGGTAAGCACAAATTGATCCTATCAAACCATTCCAATAAAAACTATGCAATCTAGCTTTACCATAAGCCCAAATAAGTAATCTTCAATCAACCAATATTTCAGTCTTGTTGGATCAATCTAGTGGTGTTCATAAAAATCTTCAAGCTTTTAGAGATGGTTTTTTTTTTAAGCTTTGATAATGTTTTTGAAAATATATATTGAGAGTCTTAGTGTTGTTATGTGCAAGGTAATAACTCTGGTTTCATGTTTTTGAATTTGGCCCATGATAACGTTTCTGAGGAAACTGCTATGCTGATCTGGATCCAGTTCTGCTAAGAACTTTTAATATTGTGGATGTGTTACAAACTTGTAATATGGATTTTAATATTTTATAACAGTTAAGCCTGTCGTCCCAAAGGCATTCCCCAACGAAAGAGGAAAATGCTACTTGTTTCAGTTATGGCTTGTTTAAAGATTTCCTGGTCTAACCATTTATATTTTCATATTTATTCATCATATATGACAGAATTATGTTGTCCGTTATTTAAACCAACTATTGTGCTGATGCAACCAAAAGGTTGAATATGTGTATCACGTGGCAATCGTGTTAGTTATTAATTAAACAAGAACAATTTGGGAGACTTATCAATATTTGTAGATGATTCTTTCTATATATTCAAGTTTCTAAAAATTAGTTTTTTAGGAAAAAACAAAAAAACATCACATTATTTGCCAACTAACTGAAAATGATGGTCTTTCTGAGCATCTGGTTTTTATGACTACATTCAAGGCCCATAATGGTTGATTGAAGTTATAAAACACATTGGAGAATAGTGAAGTTTGCTAAATCCATTATCTATTTGAGTGTAATTTGAAATCAACATTGATTTTAAGCTCTCAAAACTTCTCAGACTGTCGAGTGCAATGATTGTTTTCACTTTTACACGAAAATAATGAAAATAAAATCATTTTCTAAAGCATTTTTATCATCTACAAGCAACCCAAAAGTCTTACGTGTTAACCTCTCTTCTATATCATTTTCGTTACTTCTTCAGCTTAAAAAACCGAGTACTCCTGCTATACCAAATGCAATATAGTCCATGAATTTATTCTCTCCTTGTCTTGCTGTTCTTATCCTATTCATAGCCAGCTCTACCTCCACTTCTTTGTGTTCCACTTTATGCGTACGTCACCATTTACTACAACAACAACAACAACATCAAGCCTTTATCCCACTACGTGGGGTCGGCTACATGAATCCTTTTTCTCCATTGTGTCCTATTAAAAGCCAAATTCTCGTTTAAATCTAATAAAGAAAGGTCATTCCTAATATTTTCTAACCAAGTCTTTTTAGGTCTACCCCTACCTTTCTTAACACAAGTCAAATCTAATACCTCTACTCTCCTAACCGGGTCGTCGGAAGGCCGCCTTTTTATGTGACCAAACCATCTAAGACGACTCTCTCTAATCTTATCTTCTACTGGAGCTACTCCAACCTTTTCACGTATATGCTCCTTTCGTATCCTATCTCTAAGGGTAAAGCCACTCATCCATCTAAGCATCCTCATCTCTGCCACACTTAACTTAGTATTATGCTTCTCTTTTAATGGCCAACATTCGGCACCATAAAGCATTGCAGGCCTCACTACCATCATATAGAATTTTCCCTTAAGTTTGAGGGGTACATTTCTATCACATAACAAGCCCGATGCATTCCGCCACTTCAACCATCCAACTTGAATTCTACTGATAATATCCCCATCTATTTCACCATCACTCTGAATAATAGATCCAAGATATCTAAAACGTGTACTCTTATTAATGACTTGATCGCCCAAAGTCACAATCCCCTCACTAGGACTATTACTGCTAAAATTACACTCCATATATTCCGTTTTAGATCTACTCAAGCGAAAACCTTTAGACTCTAAGGTTGACCTCCATAATTCAAGTTTACCTTCAACTCCCTCTCTAGTCTTATCAACAAGAAGAATATCATCAGCAAAAAGCATACACCAAGGTACATCCTCTTGCAAATGTCTAGTGAGAACATCCAAGACTAAAGCAAAAAGATATGGGCTTAAGGCTGATCCTTGATGTAACCCAACCGAAATAGGGAAATACTTGGTCAAACCACCTTGTGTTTGAACACAAGTAATAGCTCCTGCATACATATCTTTAATGATTTGAATATAAGCATTATTGACTCCTTTCTTATCAAGAACTCTCCATAGCACTTCTCTTGGAACTTTATCATATGCTTTTTCTAAATCAATAAATATCATATGTAGATCATCCTTATTTTCTCTATATTTCTCCATCAAACCTCTTAATAAATGTATGAACTTTATCATATGCTTTTTCATTCAAATCCGGACCAATTGATCAAAATTAAGTTTGGTTTGGAAAATACAAAATAGTTTTGTCGGTATAGTTTTTTTAAGTTTATATCTAAGATAAATTAGTTAAGCTAAGCAAAGATGGGGGGGGGGATGATGATGATGAATCCTATCAAGATCCCATGGTTTCGTCTTCCCTTATCATCATAGTCCCTAGTCTGCGTAATCAGAGGAGGTAGTTGACCCAATCTACCGAAGGATTTTTATCGGCAAAAATGAGTTGCTTCGTATAAGGGTACCTTGTAGATATGGGGTGAATGTTTGTCTAAGGTACGAATTTAAGTCAACCTTAACTTACATAAGGTTTTTTCCCTATCGTTCATACCCTATGATTTATTGCTCAATTGTAACTATCCATTAGGGAACATGTAGTCTTTTAGCCATGACCATAAGATAGTGGAGTTGTTCGACCAAACCACTAAGTTAGAGGGCCGTGGTCATAATTGTTTACCTCATAGAGTCGGTCTGGTCAAGCCACAAGTTATTTGTGGAGCCATCTGGCCAAACCACCTATTAGGGACCAATCATAACCATACCACGTAGAGCCGTTTGGCCAAGCTATGGTCTTCGTGGAGCCATCTGGTCAAGCCACCGATTAGAGGATAAATGCCACGTCTTTACTGACATAATAATATTTGGAATGAATCTGAGTGATATTCATGACTAGACATCTGCTCTTTGTAAGTTAGAGTTATCCTCGAGTTCATCACCCTCGCCAAATGGTTGTAGAGAATGGATGAATTTTGCTTTATATTATTAAATGATTAAATTTTAATTTTAAATATTAATATTATTAATAGATATATAACCTTGGAGTTTTGGTCGAATTCAAAAATTAATCCCTCTAGTTGATATTTGCTTTCAACACGGTTATCATCGGGGATTTTGAAGTCGTTTGAAAATTTTTATATTTCATAAGAATTTGGAGCCATTTGAAAGTGTAGAGTCCCCTTTGGTTGAGATAAACATTCAACACGACCATCGTTGTAGAATTTGAATAGCTTGTATATTTGTCATTTGAGTCATGTTAGCTCTGTTTGCCTGTTAACAGAAGATCAGGTTCGATTACTTATATTATAAGTTATCGTAAAAATGCTAAGAACATAAAGCTTTATGTTTTATGATGCATTTCATCTAAAGAGCCTTTGAAGGCCTACTATTAGCTTTGTGGACGACTGTTCCTGTTCCCGTGGCTGTCCGTTCATGCCCCCCTTGTGGTCCCTTCGGGTGTTGCTCTTGGAGCCGCCTATTGGCCTTTTGTCTTCCTGTTCTCTGGTTGGTTTGGCTGGAGTTTGTTTGGGTTGTTTGGCTTCCTCTTTTTACCTATATAAAGGCTATTTTGGAGCAGGTTTTTAAGCATGTTATGGAGAGATTTTTGGAAGCTAAAACCTGAGAGTTTTTCGGATAGCTTGTGAGCCCTTGCACACTTGTCATTGTATTCAGGCCATACAGCGCGTCGCTTCCAGGGGACGCCCTAGCATTAACACAATTTCTTAAAGGATTCATGTCATTTTTGTTCGACAAGTTTTACGCTGGCTGTCGACTACCTACGTCACCATTTACTATTTAAAGAAAATAGTAGCATTCTGAAATTTTGAGATGGGATTTAACTTTATTTTATGAAGCATTGCTACTCATTCTCAATAACTTTGTGCAGATGCATTTATTATTTTTTCTTAATGTACACAACAAACTTCATCACGATGCTCAATATCTTCAATTTGCACTATAATTGGCCAGCTTTACCAATACATTCTCTGTTCTTCTATCTATATCACTCGTGTCAAGCTTATGAGCCCTATTATTTGGCTTAATCTTGCATTTGCAGCAGCGGAGCAGGTGGGGAGGCTGCTTTGGTGGATTTTCCTGTTTCGGGTCACAGAAAGGAGGGAAACGCATTGTTCCAGCAACCCGCATACCCGACGGGAATGGGTCCACAAGTCGTGGGAATATATCTCAGTCTGCAGGACCTTCTAACCAAAATACCACCCTAAATCTCTCTCTTTTAGCCCCGCCATCATCACCTGCTTCTTTCACAAACTCTGCACTCCCGTCAACGGTTCAATCACCCAGCTGTTTCTTGTCAATGTCTGCCAACTCTCCTGGCGGGCCATCCTCAACCATGTTTACTACAGGCCCTTACGCTCATGAAACACAGTTGGTCTCACCGCCTGTTTTCTCAACTTACACAACAGAACCTTCTACTGCTCCTCTAACGCCTCCTCCCGAGCTCGCCCACTTGACAACTCCCTCATCCCCTGATGTGCCATTTGCCCAGTTGCTTTCGTCTTCTCTGAAACTTAGAAGTACTGGGAAAGTGAATGGCGTTTCTTATTCTGGTTATGTTGGTGGCGACCTTCAGTCTAACTATCCACTCTATCCTGGAAGCCCAACCAGTAGCCTAATATCACCTGCATCTGGAACTCCTCGAACCGGTCTTTCTTCACCATATCCTGAGGGTGATATTCCTACTCAATGGAGTGCTTCAATTGCAGCGCGTGACTTGCCTCATTCAAGAAACGGGTCATCCAAGCTGTTTGGTCTTGATTCTTCCACCTCCAGAAATTTCATGCTGTCGTCTGATTCAAGTTTCTTCCACCCGGATAACTCTGCTGCTGCTGCACAATTTTATCTAGATCAGGCACAACAATCTTTTACTGGATATCCTCATTCAGGGGCGAGAATAAGCCTTTCCAGGGAAGGTGATGTGTATACTAGTGGTGGTAATAGACCGAACAAATCTGTTAAACAAGATCCAGAGGAGATTGAAGCCTACAGAGCATCTTTTGGTTTCAGCGCAGATGAAATCATTGTGACACCGACTTATGTTGAGATCAATGATGGGCTTGATGTTTCCTTCACCATGTCTCCCTTTAGCAACTGTAAGTCGTGCATAGAACAACATCCATTCCTAGGGCTGTCCACGGGAGGCCAAAAGGTGGTCATGGTGGATTCTGGTAGCCCAAAGATTTCAAATCATGTGTTCAAAGGAGATTTCAGTGTAGCAACTAATTATGATAATCCAATTGCAGGTATTAAGCTAATTTTTGAATAAAAAACTGATTATTAGATATACTATGGGAGCCCCTTTCATAAGTGCTTCATGATTGTCGCAAATTTCTTTCATGTGAATAAAATTCAATTTCTTTTCTATTTGCAGGTGGTGCTAACTTCAACTCCCATGATACTAGTAGTCATCATTCAACAACTGAGAAGAAGAGCGAGGCAACCTTTTCCAAGTCTACGAGCAGAAGAACTCGACTGGTTGAATCATGTTCTGATGCAGAAATTGAATATAGAAGAGCTAGAAGTGTAAAAGATGCTAACAATGCTCTGGCCTCCCGCAATTCACCTTCATAGCCTGTAAACTGGAACTGGAACTGGATGGCAGTATAGTTTAATTGGTGTATTATGTAATCAAAAACATGCTAGGAAATTGTCGTTTAGGGTCTCTGTTACTAATGGTTGTATTATTCTCTGATACTAAAGCTTGGATTGGTGATTGTGGTTCTCATCAATTTCATTTTCGAACACTCCATATTACAGTTTAGATTTATGCAAGATAGAACCGAATGAAAAGGTTAAATTGCACATAACATATAACCAAGGCTTTTAAAACCGGACCGGTCAATGAACTAGGAGGGGTTGGTGGTTTAATGGTTTGACCGGGGTTGAACTGGGGTCGAACCGGATGATGTAATAAATAATAAAATAAATATAGTAATATGATGGTCTAACCTTAAACTTAAACACAAATTCATTCTATCATATAAATCAAATATTTAAACTAAAAATAAGTTGGAGGTTATTTTATAAATAATATAATTCATATTTAAAATAAGATTACTTCACATATATATGTTTTAAATTTAATATAAATAATTTTTAATTTATTTTATATGTTTAGATATACTTTATACTTATGAAAAGTATACAAAATTTATATTATATTTATTTGTTAAGTCAAATATTTAATAATAAATGTATTAAATATTTTATTTAAAAAAATATTAGCCAAACCGATTTTTGAAAACCGGCACCGGTTTGCCGGTTAACCGGTTAAACCGCCGGTTTAAGCCTGTTCAATCTGGTTTGTGGCTAAAGCGGTTCTTACAAAATTCTAGACCGGCTGGGGGACCGGTTTATGGTTCAACTGGTTGAATCGGTCGGTCCGGTCCGGTTTTCAAAGCACTGCATATAACTACGAGGCAAATGGGTTTAATTAACTGATACTTACAGATTTGTATGAGTCATGGATGTTAATTATTTGTACTTAGTTTTGTTAGGGAATGTGTCTTAAAGCAATATTATTGTAATATATCTTTATGGAAATAAATATTTAAAGACAAATTTAGAATGTATTGATATTATCATTTGATATAATATTTTATTATTGGGATATCATCAGAAAATTATCTTGATTGGGCATGATCTTGAGGCAAAATTAATTTTTAATTTTAAAAATTAAGATTGAAACCATTTGCATTTCGATTTCAATAAATTTAGAGTTGAATTGAACGTCTCGAAAGTACGAATCTAACGACACCAAATTCAACCCCATTCGTACTCAAATAGGTTCAAATCAAATACCAAAGCGCATTAGGAAGGTACAAACCATAATTTGGATTACCAAACGGTTTCCAAACATGATGTGCTTATAGTTGAATCAAGCGACTCGACGAGACGACTCAAACAAGCCTAAGATAGTCGAATTTTGATATTATTAAGACTTTCAAATGCCCAATAAACAGTCTATGTTCAAGAAATTCAACATCGGTCATCCATTCAAACCACTCCCAATTTACCTTTGATCTTCCTTTTATTTATTGGTCATGTCACTCTCAAAAAACTATAAGTAGGCCACTCATTTCTGATGGAAGGGGGAAAAGGGAGGAAGAGAAGGAAGCAATGAAGAGAATAAATAAGAGAAACCAGAGTTCTTTTGCCACCAGACTCCTCGACCATAGTCGAACTTTTGTCCGGCCATCGACCAATGTCGGACTTATGCCCGACTGCCAACTGGCATCAAACTTCTGTCTGATCGCCGACTAACGGCAGACTTCTGCCCGATGGTCAATTAAAGCCATATTTTTTATCTCCATTTGTAACTAGATTTCAAATCGATGTTTGATTATTGTAATATGATTGTCCTTGAAAGTTCGTTAGGGATGTTAAGCCCTAATGAACTAGCCCAAGGCTAACCAAGGAGGAGGGGGGTAAATTGATATTTTAAAAAATTCTTGATCAAAACTTAAACTCAACCAAACCAAATTCACGACAAAGAAAACAAAAGTGCAGAAATTAAATGCAAAAAAAAAACAGTAATAAAGAACACATGAATTTATAATGGTTAGGTCAACTTGACCTACGTCCACTCATCAGAGGCACCCTTCGAGTATTGCACTAAACTCAGTTACTCTCTTTTTTCTCCCACAGTAAGGTGGAGAAGCCTTTATAAATCTCCTTTCCACCAACATCGCTGGGGCAGAGAACCTGATTCCTTTTGCTTCCTCCTGAAGTAGACAGAGAACTCGACTCCTTTCGCTTCATGCTGAAGCAGGTAGAGAACCTGACTCCTTTTGCTTCCTCCTGAAGATACACTCTCCCTCACAAGATCCTCTCTCTCTCTCTCCCTTACTCTCCCTCTCCTCATGGCTCTCTTAGGTCAAGATAGCAGTAAAAGATACATTTTTGGATAAAATAAGAGGTCTTATATAGAAGAGCTTCGAAATAGCTCTTAATTGCAACAAACTGACATTATCATCGTTTTGTACTATCAATACAAATTTAGCTCAATCAGGTATGACGATTTGGGACAATCGGAAGGAAATTTGTTCATATTATCTAAGATGATAGAATATCATCCTATATGATTAGTATAATTCATCGAATATCATCCAGACCATCGCCCTGGATGGGAGTCTGGATGATGAAAAAGTAACTTGATCATCTAGAATGATCTCATGATCATCCAGGACGATTAGTTCAAAATATCATATATCGTTCAGAACATCACCCTGAATGTATGTCTGGATAATGAAATATTTACTGAAATATTGACCTGGTCGTCCTGGCTGATCTCATGATCGTTCGGGACGACTAGTTCAAAACTACACAGATCATCCAGAACATTGCCGTGAATAGAACCAGGCCGATGTTCAATCGTGCATGAAGAATTAAGGTTTTGTTAACTATTCTTCTCGGACGATCCTACGATCGTTCAGGATGATATAATCGAGCAATTAAACTTTAATTTCTTTCCTTAATTACCTGATTAATTTAGGCATAATTGTACTGCATCATCCAGGATGATGTCGTGGAGGATGTCCAAAAATAAACATACCTAAATATATCTGGCGGTTGATTCTTTCTGATTTAAGCCTATTATCCAGGACAATGATAATATCATTCGGGACGATTTGATTAATGATGGCTGCCTTAACAAGGATTCCCTAATTAGGATTTTTATTTTTAACTTATCATCCAGGATGATGTTTGGATCATCCAGGATGATGTGATAAAAAACATAGAACTCTAAAACAATCAGAAAATTTTCCCTTAAGTGCGTGTGTGCAAGATTACTTTACATCAGGACCCACATCGATACAATTGACTCAAGAAAAGGTAAAAGATTACAAACTGACTCAGTCCTACTCTACCCAATCTTGAGCTGGCTTGAGCTGCACTCTATCTTGTGAACCTAAAATTTTAGTAGGTAAGGCAGTCGTAGATAAATAAAAATATTTGTTATCATCAAAATCATATTCCCTGAAATCAGATTTGCAACAGTCCTCAATTTAAAGGGTGAGTCTGTTACTTATAATCTAATCAAACACTAGCTGAATCATTTCAACTAGGCGTGACTCTATGGTTTTTCCCTTTTCTAGGGTTTTCCACATAAAATTTTATGTGTTTTATTTTTATTATTTTTGTGCTCTTGATATCCGTACAACACTAAGATAAAATTTTTTTAACTCAATCGCCACATATATTCTAGCTCACAACAGTTTAGCACCGTTTGTGGCAACTATAATCCCACTATCCTAAGCATTTCTTCAATGCCAAACAGCATAGCAATAACATCTTAGGAGCCTCCCCCTCTAACACCCATCAATCCATGAATCATGGATGCCAAGTATCTACCACTTTTTATTATAGGGGAGATAAAGTTGATGGAGAATGAACTTCATGACCTTCCCTAAAAGAACGTATTTGAATGATAGAAGAATCTCAAAATGAGATCCTTCAATATCTACAAAAAACTCGGCAACCGGCGCTAGCATAATAAGAGGAGGTTCTTCTCCCTTAAGATTCATCATTGGATGAGGTGTTCAACTCTAACATCTTCACGAAGAGATTCCTGTTCCTCCACCAAGGAAGTATCTGCAATCACATCAAAATAATAAACTTACTGATGTAGTAAGTTCTACATATCCTTCGTACACCGGTCGATAACCTCACATTCCTTCGGACATCCCTGAAGACTTAACCTGACCGCATGTTGCTTAGATCCCTCGTAACGCCCTATATCATGAACTGTGATGATTAGTATGAGAAGAGTTTCTTGTGAGAGGTGTAAGATAATCTCTTTATCAGTGGGACTTCCAAGAGTCATTACCCCTAAATAAATAAATTCTTCGACAACCCATGTCGGCATGATTCAAGCTACCGAGCATCGATTCCTATGACGGAACATCTAACCCGTTCGAGCATATTGATCACTATGGAACCATCATGCATATCTACCAAGCCTCAAACACGCTTCTCTAACAGATTTTTCCTACTACCCTTAAATGACAAGCTTGAATGTGGTTTTATTCACTTCAAACTGGAATGATCCCTATTTTCATCAAATTACCCAAAGTGTTTATCAAACAATTTGTTGATTCGTTGCCAATCGAAGAATTGTTAACGATTCTTCTCACCTATCTGTGATCCACTAAAATGAAGGAGAATCATCTAAGGAGATTCTTTAATGATTTTTCACCAAAGCTTGACAAATTTTAGGAATAGATTCTGAATTGTTGAGAGGAGTTTTTTTATGAGGCCTCCATCCTGGTTCCTTTTACTCGGCACTCATGCGAGACATGATTCATTTATATATTGACTTGATCCATTGCATGGAGGCACAAATATATGCAGATAAAACTGTTAATACTTATAGAAAGCAATTTGAGAAACCTTCTGAATGAACAAAATTGCTCATATAATGGATAATTTATTCTCACAATTATAGAAATAAAGGAAAATATAACCTACCTTATAGACCCCCATTACCACGATGCGCGTTCGACAAGAAAAGTGTACACCACTCAATGCATCTAGAGTAAATGTACTGATGGTCATTCAAGATCAAGAAAATATTAAGTGGTCTAGTCCTTTGAAGGTGAACTCAGGAAATCAGGATAAATATTGTCATTTCCACCGGTTGGTGTTGAAAAGTAGGTTTTTTGAAAAGATTAGCCTTCTTTGGGGAATTTGAAATTGAATTTGAATTTTAATTCTGAAATGAAACGTCCCATCAAAAAAGATATACTATCTCAAGAGATAAAAATCAGATT